CAGCCCCCTGGGCTGGCTTGGGTTTGCTGCCTGCTGAAATGCCATTTGTGGCATTCACATTCTGTGAAAAAATGCCTTCGCACAGGGTTTTGCTCCTGGGAAGCTGAAAGGCAGAGAGAGGAAAAGAAAAGAGAAAAGAAAAACAATTCTTATCTCATTTGCTTCTCCTGTGTTGTGCTCATGTAGAATGTGTTTGGAAATTGTTTACCACAGGTGATTGCTTGATTGGATTCTGGTGTGAGTTGTTTTCACTCTTTGGCCAGTTGGGGCCAAGCTGTGTCGGGACTCTGGAAAGAGTCGCGAGTTTTCATTATCTCTTTAGCATTCAGTAAGTATCTTTTCTGTTTTCTTTAGTATAGTATAGTATTATTTAATATAGTATCATAAAATAATAAATTAGCCTTCTGATAAAATGGAGTCAGACGCATCATTCTCTCCCCTCGTCGGTGGCCCTGCATTTGCAATAACCATGCTCATGGCACTGGTCTGATTCACTCTGGTCTGAAGGCAGAACTCAGCAGCCCCAAAAGGAAAACAGCTTTTATTTTAGCAAAGGCTTAAGTTCTCTATGTTAAAACAGTGCCACAAAAGAAGAAAGTGAGTCAGAGTCTCCCTTTGGCTCGCACTGCCCACTCCTTGTCTTGCTGGGCAGCTGGAGGCCGGCCCTGGGGCCCGGTGTGACCTGCCCGTCCCTGTCCCTGCTGGCTCCTCTGGGGAGGCTTTTCACCTGACATGCCCTTGCAGTGCTGGCTGCCTCTGGGTGCCCAAAGTGCTGCCACAGCTGCCCTTTCCCTTTCCCTGCCAGTGTCCAGCCTGGCCTGGCCTCCTGTGCCCTGACAGGGGACACCACGGCCCCACAGCAGCAGCCGCCGCTGCTTGTTCCTCCTTCCCGCTCCAGCAATCCCTGCTGTACTGTAATCACACAATTATTATGCCGTTAAAATGTCATATTCGCAGAAATCCACATAAACAAGGCATTAGCAGTTGCCAGGAAATTGTAGTTTTACTGCTAATGACCCATTTTCCCCCTGCAGCACCACTTGGTTTTTTTTTTCTTAAATATTATTTTTTCCTTTCTTTGTTTCTTTGGGATTTTTTTTTTGTTTTGTTTTGTTTCTGAGCTGTGATTTAAGAGGCAGATGACAAATTACATCTTTGCAGTGAGAGGCTTTTAATCTTTAATGTACAGTTACAGTGAAAAGCTGCCTCTGTGCCTGCTCTGGGCTCTGTGCCCTTAGCCAACAAGGGTGATGGGTGGTTTTGGAGGAGGTGCCTTTAGTGGGTTATTTTTTGGGGGGTGCTTTAGTGAAATGGCAGAGAAAGCTCTTGGTGACCCCTGCTCTTGGCTGGGTGCTGGTGTGAGATGGAAGCTTCTCTCCACAATAAGTTTTGTCAGTGTCTTTTTTGGGTGTCCCTGTCCTTGAGCACCCCTGGGGGAGTCCCCAGTGTGGTGGTGTTGGAAGAGGCAACACTTGTTTGCCAAGAGCAGACAGCGCCTCCTTGGATGTATTTTTCTTCTCTTTCCTTCTGCTCATTGAGTCCCTCGAACTCTTTTAAGCGTTGACTGTGTTTCCTATAATTAATACCAGTCATTAAACTGCAGTGTTGAAAGAGAAATTACCTAATTCCAAGAAAAAAAAAATGAAAATTTATTACTAGTACGTGAGAGAAAATGAATAGGAAACTTGGAGAGATGAGCCCTGTGGAAGATAAATAGAAAGGCAAGTGGAATATTGACTTGATCCTTTTCTAGTGCAGGGTAATTTGGCCTCTAAAGTGAGTTAGATCATAATAAATTAAATTTAGATTTCTGCACATCAGTTAAATAACTCCCAAGACAGAATTCTGGTGTGAGGAAGAGGTGATTATACATTGTGGAAATATTATAATGAAGACCTTATCTGGTAACCTGTAACCAATGTGCTGTCCCTGGGTAAGCAAAGGGGATTTCTCCTGGTGCTTTAACTCTCATTCCCTGTCTTGGATCAGGTGCAGGTGAGAAACAGGTGAGTCCCTGTGTGCAGGTTGGTGAGGTCTCCTGCCTCCTGCTGCTTGCAGAGCTGGGAGCTTTTCATGCTTTCCTCTCCTGCTTTGAGCAGCTGTGTTTTGCAGAGGTCAGTGTGCACCTGTGTCCGAGCTGAGCATTCTGCTCCAATTTCAGTTACCCTTTCAGGGAGGCTTGGGATGGAAAGAACACCCAGAAGATTTAGGCAGGTGATGCAGATCAAAAGCAAATGAACAACCCCCAGTATCTACCTCTGGCTGAAAAAGTGAACCCAGTCCCTGGTCTTGTTTTGTGGCCAGATAGGGATTAAAATAAGTGTTTAATCTCTGGCATCTAGTTACTGTAGATCTCAGGTGTGTATTTAATTACCCAATATTTATTATCCATCCCACTGGTAGCTTTCCTCAGCTCAAAAAGGAGAACCTGTGTGAATCAAGGTGGGCTGGTGTCTTTCAGGTGGAGATTGCACAGGAGTATTAATTAGTCACTGCAGAGTGAACAAGGAATGCAACCCTGGAATGCAAGGTATATCCTGGGCAGGATGAGAGGTGGGGTATGGCACTGGTATTTGTCCATTTCCTGCTGGGACCCCACCCCCGGTAACAGCACATGAGTGGAGTTAGATGGAAAATGCCATCCCACACCCTGGAGGACCCTGCCACATGCCAAACCCTGCTTCTGCTGCCAGACCAGAGCATTGCTGCTCTTGTAACAGGTGCAGAAGCTCCAGTTTTTTGAGGGAATCCACCAGCCCTCCCTTCTGAGCCATCAGTCAGATTCTGGCCCAGCTGTACCCTCCTAGCTGATCCAATGCTATTGGGTGTAACTGACATCACAAAAACCAAAACAGCACACACACACACACCTTACAGCCTTAAGTGCTGTGTGGCCACTTTGAAAAGCCATTTCTCTTCTTATTAAGTTGGATAAAACCAACATTTATTTTTCTTCACAGCATTAAAATTTAGGGACTGCAGCTCCGGTGGCTGTTTCAGCAGCGCCAGGCCCTCCTGGGGTCATCGTGAAATCTTATAAACATCAGGCTGTCGCTGGCTGCGCCATGCAATCGCCTCACTCTTCCCTGATCTTTTACTGCCGTGCTAAATCGTGTTTTGCAAGATGCCTGAGAAAAAACCCAACATAAACAGCATTTATCACCCTGTGCACGTCGGCCCTCCCGAAAGTCCGCGGCTGGGTTATGTGTGTCCTCCTCGTAAAACTCCTGCAGGGACCTTACTGGTTTTGTAACTTTCTCCCAGCCTTGAGTAACTTTATTCCAGTCCTGAGTAACTTCCTCTCAGTATGGCTGGTGACTCAGGGGTTTCTTCTGATCTCCTCACACTGGGGAAGGTGCTGGAGGAGGTCCTGGGGTCACACATGGGGAGGATGAGTACAACCCTGTATCTGGAAACCCCTGCATCCCTGGAATTTGTTTGCTCTTTGGGAGTGCTCATGTTGCCATAACACAGGGTGATGTGGGGTGTCCTATGGCTGGAGGTGCCTGGCTTGCTCCTGTGGTGGTTTACTTGCAGGAGCCAGTGCTCCCTCCTCCCCTTCCTGTGACTACAAAAAATGCACTGCCAGATGCGAGTAAAATCAATTATGGGATAAAAATCGCCCTTTTCAAAAGCTTCATTTTGCGCTATTAGCAGGCAAAATCGGCTTTGAGGCGGTGTGAACTGAGGAGGGGGGGGAAAAAAAAGAAAAGCAGAAGAAAAGATCAATTATTGGATAAGATCACAATTTTCTTTGGGGCTGAGATGTGTGTAAATGTTTGCATCTCTCAGTGTTACAGGTAGGCTGAGATCAAAGAGGTTGTGCTGCTGTAGCGATGAGGTCTTATCGGCGCTGTTTTGTGCTGGCTGCCTCAGACACTGCCAAAGGATGCTTAACCCCCTGACAGCTTCTGCTGCTCAGGGATGCTTCAACCCCAACAGCAGCGAGCCACCAAGAAATGCTTAAACACCCCCCAAGGTTGTTGAAGCTGCTGGGTAACCCCAAAATGCAGCTCTTCCATCCTTCTGGAGTGGGGGGGAAGTGTTTCCCTGCTCTTCTCCCTGCAGTAGGGCTGAAGTCCTCGGTGGGAGACGTGTGGTGGCAAAGATGGACTGAAATTGGGCTGGGAGCATGATGCCCCCCTTCTTCCAGGGTCCTGTTGCTGGAGCTGGGGCTAGGATGTGGCTGTGGAAATGTAGGATTGCTCCTTTCCTACCTGAAAGGTTATGGGGGCAATGGGTCATGTGTTGTAAAATAACTTTGTTTTTTGCCTAGAGAGACATTAAAACCTTTACAAAATGTTTGTGCTGCTTGAGAGGGGCATCCACCAGAGACCTGAATTTGGATTCAGATTAGTCCTTTTAATTCAAATTGACAGGCTCTCTTTGACATATTGTTTCAGAAAGTAAGGACAAAAAATAAACCCTGGAGACCTCATAGGACTCTATAGGAGTATGCCTCTTGTTGATGGAGTGGCAAAACTATCCTTTGTCCCCTCAAAAAGAAAAGAAGCCCAGAAGTTTCTCTTCTCGATTAGGTGAAAAAGCCACCTCATAGGCCTGGGGGACTTCACCTCAAACTTAAGGATAGCCAATTGGACAGAAACCAAAAAGTCCCACCTTTAGGGCAATTTACTAGAAAAAGAAGTGAACGAAGAAAGGTGTTTTACCAGGAGCAAGGACCTCTAGCACCTGGCTGGGTTTTTCTCTGTTTGTTATTTTGCCTTTTTGTTTCCAACACTGCAGCAGAAGCCGTCCTGCTGATTTTTTTGCCTCCAAAGGTAGCTGAGCCATCTTGGGTGTGTCATAGACCTCTGAGAGCTTATGAGACCTGGCTGGAAGAGGCTGCTGTAGCAGAACTCCTCGCTGGCCGCTCTTGCAGCACTTGCCCGAGTTGTGGGGCTGATGGAGCTCTGGTGGGGCTTGGGAGGAGCTCTGGAGCGGGGTCAGGCGCGCTCCGGTCTCTGCTGTGTCTAACGGGGCTGCCTTTGTGCGCGCAGGAGCCGGAGGCGGACTGGGACGACCTGTGGGATCAGTTTGAGGAGCGGCGGTACCTGAGCGCCCGCAGGTGGAAGGGCGGCGAGGACCCGTACCGGCTGCACGCCTTCAACCAGCGCGAGAGCGAGAGGATCCCCAGCGACCGCGCTGTCCGCGACACCCGCCACCACAGGTGCTGCCTCCCCCTGCCTCCTCCTCTTCCTCACCTAACTTCAGTTATTGGATAAGATCACATTCATGGCACGGGGGCCGTGAAAAACGCGAATCACTTGTTTTTAAAATTTTCAAAGTTTAGTGGTAATGAAATGGTTATAAAAAATAGCAATACAATTAGAGTAATAATAATTTGGACAAATTGAATTAGGACAATGTGAGACAAGAAATAGAAAGCGTTACGGACATCCAGGTACCTTTTTCTGGGCAGCACGAGCCCAAAAAAGGACCCATGTTAACAGAGGATTAACTCTTAAAAGCAACAGCCTGTTGCATATTCATACACCTCATACATGATGCATAAATTCCATTCAAACACAGGATTCTGTCTGGTCATCATCAACTTCTCCCTCTGAATCCTAGCAGCGCCTTTGAGGCGGGAAGAAGTTCGTTTCTTCTGATAAGAGGGCTCTAAATTTCTTTTTCTCTGAAAGATTTATGTATCCTATGGCTGCTATCTCAGTGCCACTCCTTTCTTTAGAAAAGTATCCTTCATAGTATAGTTTCTATTTTAACACTTTTTATAACCTAAAACTATATTTAACACAGTATTTTTACAGCATTACTTTCTAACACAACACATATAATATTCATTTTAATATTTGTGAAAAGCCAATCATAAAATACATGCGTTTTTCACAGGGGCCTAGTCCCGTTCCCCTCCAGGGATGTGGTTTTGGGTGCTCTTGGGATTGGGTCTGCCTGGGTTGTATTTTTGGGATTGAGTGTTTCCCTTTGCTCGATTTCTTGGCATGTCTGGAAGTCTTAAACCTGTTAATTGAAACTGTATACATTATTCCAGGACCATAGGGAAAGAAAGGAAGGGCTTTTATTTTCCCTTCCAGAAAGTAATGGGTTTGAAAGAGCAAGTCTCACTGTTGGGCAAAGTCTTCACAGGTGCTGAGAACTCCTGCTCTGCAGATGCAGTGAGGTGATGCAAGGGGGTTAAAATAACTGCTGAGTGCTGAAATTGCTCTGCAGAGAGAGGAGTGGGGAATGAGGGGCAATTGCTGAGTGAGGAGGAGAGAAGGCTAAGAACTTGTTGGGTTACTAGCTGCTCCAGCGCCACTGAGGTCAGAAATATCCTTTGGTGCCAAAGGAGCTCTTGGGAAAGGCAGGGAGGATTGCAGCAACAATTGCCTTGTAGATGGAGCTGCACTCCCCTGTCAGTGTGAGAAGGGTGGGGTGGGAGTTTTGGTGCACCCTTGCTTGCTGAGGTCTCAGCTTTAGTCTCCCTCTGGCTGTCTTTCCAAACTCGCTGGGGAACAGCTGCCCTTCCAGCTGAAGGTCAGTGGGGTTAATTGTTAGTTTGCTGGGTGGGGTGATGTGAGGATGTCCCAGTGGTGAAGGAAAAGCTCCCAAGATCTCCTCCATGCAGCTTTCCTCCTTGTCACCTGAGGACACAGTGTATGCCTGGCCCCTGCTGTCAGTCACCAGTCCACAGCCAGTGCAAGCTCTTTCCATGGAGCTGTGCCTGGCATTGTGTCCCAGCTTGCAGGCAGCAGCTGTCCCTCCTGCCTTGTCCTGGGAGCCCTTTTGGGGCAGTCCTGCTCTGGGGGGAGCTCTGTGCTGGACCCAGCCACAGCACCCTGCTGCCCGTGCTGCACCCTGCTCCCAGATCAGAGTGACTCCACTCCTGGCATCTGACCCAGCTCTGAACTTCCCCCGTTCCAGTTCAAATGCAGCACTTGGGCTGAAATGCTGAAACAGCACCAGCTCCCCAGCCCTCTGTAGCAAGCCATGTGCTTATTTATTTATTTAGCTTCTTTTTGTTGTAAGGACCAGATGCTCCTTTCTCCGGAGAGGAGCTGTCAGCCCTGACGGACGCCTGTTATAGCTGAGCAGAGAGCGAGTGTGCTATTCCTGGAGAGAATTAATGCCAGGGATATTAACCATCTGCCCTATTAAAAGGGAAGATTGCCTTGCTTGCCCCTTGCCTACCCTCAGTGTGCAGTGGCAGCCACCTTGTTCCTGGGCGGGCAGATGTGGCACTGAGTGCTCCTGTGAAGGAAAAGTTCTCATTAAGGAGGAACAGAGGGCGCAGCACGTGGGAGGGGCTGGGGCTAATTTAATTTGTTTCCAATTTCCTTAACCCGGTAATTGGACTCTGATTTATTGAATGTGCCTGAGGAATGCTGTGGATGATGCACCATTAGCCAAGCATTAGAGTAGCCACGGAGGAAATGGAGCTGCCGGCAGGTCTGGGGGAGGCAGGCGCTGATGGAGACGATGGAGGAGGGAGAAGGATCTGGGATTGGTGGTTGAGGGAGAGAGGAAAGTGCAAAGCTGAGCCCTCTCTGGAAAAATAATCCTTACTTACAGCACAGGTGTCCTGGGAGCTGCTGCAGGTGATGGTCAGGCCCTGCCGTGCAGCCTGGAAGCTGGTCTTGAACTGTGCAGCAGAAATGTGTGGGAAAGCATGGATAAGCATGGCCTGCTCTTGGAGCAGGGAGAAGTTGCTGGTGGCTGTGCAAGGACATATAAAGGGAATGCACCATGGGGTTGACTAGATGCCCTCCTGTGAAGGGGAGAGCAGGGTTGTGTGGAGCAGGCTGTTGAGGGAGAAGGGACACCTGTAGTACTCCTGCTGCATGTCCCACTGGAGGCTGTTTTTAGAGGCTTGGTTTCAATGGAAAACTCAGATTAAACTGCTCAGAGTGAACCCAGAGAGTCAGGCCTCAATTCTACTCCAGCTGACTTTGGGGCAATTCAGGACCCCACACTCAGGGGTGTCACTGTGCCAAGAGGCTCCTGCCCAGGTTGTGCAAGGGTTTTGGAGGCTTTGGGGAGGGTCTCATCCATCATTTCAGCCCCTTGCCATTGATAAGCAACTTCTCCCTCAGCCTCTCGGTGAGATGTTGTGCTCTGCTTTGTGACAAGGTTTCCAGTATGTTGGCTCTCCATCCTTTTTGCCTGTGGATGATGTGTGACAGCACTGAGATGGACCTTCAGACCATTGTAATGCCCAGAGACCCACACATTGGATCCTAATCCTAGGGACTGGGATATGGGAATGCTGCTCCTCACAGCTTCTCTGTGGGGTGTTTTTCGTTAGGATGGTTGCAGAAAGTTTCCTGGTGTTTTCTCTGCTAATCCAGCCAAGCATCTAGACTTGCCAGCGATAGCTGAATGTACAAAATCTGGCAAGGGCTGAGCAGCAAGCTCCTTGCCAGGAGGTCATGGAGAGGGCAAATACTTTCAATGGGATGGGTTGTGGCACTGACAGCCAGTTGCTTAGCAATGTTTGCTAGATTGATTTTGTTTTTAAATTGCAGCCAGTGGAATAGTTTCAGATGGAGAGGAATTGCAGTGTTCCAAGAAATCAGAGCAGGAGAAACCGTGGTGGCTCTCTTTGTCTGCCTCTGGCTAGTGCAGAGCTATGAACTTCAGCTTGGTTTGTGATTTCAGCCAGGGAGCAGTCGTGCTTTCTGAGGACTACTTTGTGTCACTTGGCCTGGGAGATCTCATAGCTGGACTGTTGCTCCTGCTGACCTCCTTGTTTCACTGCATTCCTGGTTGCACATTGACTAAGCTCTTTGTTGAAGATTGCAATGCAAGATGTTTTCCATCACCATCTGTGTGGCAGATTACCTTTGTCAAGTGGGCAGTTTGCCTTATCTCTCTCTTTGAGTGACCACATTCACACCTCCCTCTGGAGGGGACCTCTGCTGATAAGAGACTGTTGAATGTCACTGCATGTCTGATAAGAGCTATAACATCCCATTGGGAGATGTGAGCCCAGAGGGAGGAGCCAAGCATTCCTACCCAGATATAATCCAGAGGTTTTTGAGACACCAGCACAGCTTCTCCACTGGATTCCCCAGAGGAACAGCAACTGTCTCTTCTTCCACTGGATCTTCAGAGGAAGAATACATCCTTCTCTACAGATCCCCCTGCTCCAGCAGAACCACACCTGACACTGCAGGAGGGCTGCAGCCACATTTCCAATGGGACTGCCACCAACACCCTGACCCACAGGGTGTCAGGTTGGGTTCTGACTCTGTCAGTGTTGTTCTAGTGTACTGCATTGCTTTTTTTATCCTTTTTTTTTTCCTTTCCCTATTAAAGAACTGTTATTTCTTGCTCCCATATTTTTTGCCTGAGAGCCCCTTAATTTAAAATTTATAACAATTCAGAGGGGTGGGGAGGGTTAACATTCTCCATTTCAGGGGAGGCTCCTGCCTTACTTAGCAGAGTCCTGTCTTTCCAAACCAAGACACCCTTGGACCACATAAAGGGCTGCCTTTCTCCGAGGAGGAGACCTTGGATGCTCCTGTGGTGCTGCACCCCATCTTGCCCAAAACTCAAGGTTAAAACATCCCTGTGATTGCATCGGCACACCGGACCTGGAGCTTGGTGGTTATCCAGACTGTGCACAGCCAGCTCATTCCTCCAGAGTGGGTGGCTAGTCTCCCTCCACCAGGATAGCCACATGCACTGGGAATTACCTCATCCCCACCTCCCACAGCTCCCACCGGCACACTGCGGGACCGCAGCGGCAGCGAATGAGTCAGTGCCGGGGGAGAGGAGCGGCGCTCTCCAGCACTGCTCAGCCGCTCGGAACGCCGGCAGGAGCCGGGACGTGTCGCCCCCAGCCAGAAGATTTCATCCTGATGGCTCCTGGGCTCTTTCCATCTGTGGCAGACAGCTCCTGGGGAGGCTGGTGCTCGCCACGCCAGTGCTCCATATGCTGCTTGGGCTGCCCCCCGCCTCGCCGTGCCCCGCTGGCTCTGATGGATGCGCCGATGCTGTTGTGGCTGCCAGGCTCGCTGGGACCGGCCTGGGCGGGGGTTTGTGCAGGCTGAGGGGGGAAATTGGGGATAAGAGAGGAGATGAGAGGGGAGACCCTCCAGCAGACTTCTCCAGCTACTGCAAATCACATCAGCCAGCTTCAGGCATCTCCCAGCGTCTGTTTTCCTCTGTTTGTTTTGCTTCTTACTTCAGTGATACATGTTTAGT